GGGGTGGGGGTGAGCGATGCCTGACGAGAAATCTCTTTTAGACAGTAATTAGAAATCACAAAAAAATTTAAGGTAGATTTCTGGAGGGATTATTCGTTGCTAATCATTATTTCTAAAAATACTATTTCCTGCTGGTGACTCCAGTTTTTCTGAGGGACGGAGAATTGCCTATGTTGGTTTGGGCTGGTTAGTTTGTTAGTTTCTTTCTTTCTTTTGCATGAAATAATAAAGCAAAACAAAGCAAAGTGTGCTGCTTATATTTTGCCCCAAAGCGCTCTTTGGGAAATTGACAGTTTATTTGTGCAGGACACCCGTTGTGATACCCGGCGCGCCCACTGCTAGCTGAGTAATCCGTTTCCTGACCTCAGAAGGAGGGAAGGCTGAGCCAGCAACCTGAGCCTGTAAAGATTGAACTCGGGTTGCGAGGAGAGTCTTCACTGCAGCACTGCCGTTCACCCACTGTGCCACAAGTCTAATTATTGTCATCCTCCCCACCTCCAGGTCCGAGTTTCTTTTGAGGAGGTGACTGTTTCTTTCACCCAGGAGGAGTGGGCTCTGCTGGATCGGGGCCAGAGGGTTCTCTACCAGGAAGTCATGCAGGAAAACTACAGGAACGTGGCTTCTCTGGGTAAAGCATCTTCTTTCCCGTTTGGTTAATTAGGGTAGCTGAGTGCGCGGCTTCATCTAAGTCAGGGGTGGGCAAAGCTCGGCCCTCCAGATGTGGCCAGATGTCAGCTCCCAGCTAGAGCTAGGGGTGAGGAGTGTTGAATGTCTGGAAAATTTTATTTGGTTTTTAATGAATGAATGAATGAATGAATGAATGAATGAATGAATGAATACATCCTTCTTAAAGGACCAATCAAATAAAAAAAATTGTCTTTCCCGTAGGTTCCTTCTCTTTTTCAATCGTTTTTCCTGAAAAGGACCAATCAAATAAATTTTTTTGTCTTTCCTGTAGGTTCCTTCTTTTTTCAATCTTTTTTCCTAACCCTTCTCCCTTTTTACCCAAGCAACGCTACTCATTTCTCCATGTTCTCTTCCCCAATTTGATTTGTTCTACTCCAAGGTGCAGGTAGAAGAATATTATGGTTAGAAATGGAACAGCATTGCATGTAAAAAGTACGCTGAAGTGTGGGGTGAGGTGACGGATAGCTTGCCAGGAGAGGCCAAACCTCTTCCCCTGTCTCTGGTCTTTTCTGAGGAACTGCTTAGATTGCTACTATAAAAAGTACACTGAAGTGCTGGTTGAGGTGAAGGATAGCTTTCCAGCGGAGGCCATACCTCTTCCCCTATCTCTGATCTTTTCTAAGGAACTGCTTAGATTGCTACTCTCAGGCTCACCTTCTTCCTTCTATACCACCAATGTTTTGGTTTGCCTTTTTCAGAGAGAGGTAATCACACAGAAAGCAGACCTAAACAGTATGAATAGCACACAGTCCTAATGTTTATAAGCAAATATTTCAGGGGGACGTCGCCATCTTTGGCCAGGTTGACTTCTTTGACCATGTTGGCCAAGCCCTGTCATGCTAGGAGTTTTTCTTCTATCCATTTATATGCAGGGAGTGGAAGCCCTGGCTGGGATTCCTGGAGCAGCACTATGTGAAGAGACTCCAGGCTTCCTATGCTTTTGCCTTTTGTTTGGAGGTAAAAGGAAGATATTTAGGCTTTTGTCTTATTTCGTTTTCTTCTTTGAAGAAGGGCCTCTGAGGTCTCACTCTAACCTCTTCCCTTGGTTGGAAGAAGGAGAAGGAGAAGAAGAGACATTTGATCAGGAGAGATGGGCAGGTGGGTGTTTGGATCCTGCTGGATTCTTGTGTGTGTGTGTGTGTGTGTGTGTAGTTCCCGTAACTCTGTTTCATCTAACACAACTCCGCTTGGTTGCCACCCTCAGTCATCTCTAGAGAGTTGCCTGCTGAATTGATGCCTTTCTGTATTGTTGGGGTGGGGGTGGTTTTAATTTTAAAATGTATTAGAGGGCACGGGGCCACCCCAAGGTCCTTCTTTGAACAAAAAGATGTCCTGGGCTCCCTTTCTGATGAAGGAGGCGTCTGCGTCTGTTTTAAAACACTTCTTCCAAAGCTGTATTTGCATCCTTAGATTGCTTTAGATTTCTCTTGAGACCGATCTTTGAACTAAAGGATGTCTTGGGCTCCCTTTCAGAGGAATGGGGGCGGCGGCATCTGTATTAAAACACTTATTCCAAAGCTGTGTTTGCATCCTTAGATAGCTTTAGATTTCTCTTCAGACCGCTGCCCCCTCCCCTCCCCTTCTGGAGTATTCCCATTAGAAGCTTTATTGGTCCTGAGACCGCAAACTTACTTACTTACTTACTTACTTACTTACTTCCTTACTTACTTACTTACTTACTTACTTACTTCCTTACTTACTTACTTACTTACTTACTTACTTCCTTACTTACTTACTTACTTACTTACTTACTTCCTTACTTACTTACTTACTTACTTACTTACTTACCTACCTACCTACCTACCTACCTACCTTAGAGGCAGGTATTGGGGTGGGGGCTCCTTCCAGGCTCATCTTTTCCCACCACTCCCTCCACCTCCCAACTCCCCCAAACTGCTACTTGCTGGTTTTGTCTTCGGAGCTGGTGAAGAGGGGGAGACTTGCCTGGAGATTACGAGTAATCGCTCTCTCTTCATCTCTCTCTTTCTTGACGTAGCGCCCCCGATTCCTCAACCCCACACCATCTCTGGGTCGAAACAAGGGAGAGAAGAAGAAGAGAATGTGGAATTTGTCCATGAGACGTTGACAGGTGAGTTCTTGGATTTGCAGTGGGAGACTATTTTGCCTGGTTCTCCTCGTGAGACATTCAGTTTCCATAGCCCTGTGCTCCCCCCGCCCGGCTAACACATATACTATAATTAGACCATTGTTGTGTGTCCTGCACTCTGGGATGACTAACTTCCAATTATTTCCAATGTTCTATCTTGTTTCCCCTCAGTCTTCTTTTCTCAAGGCTAAACATGCCCAGCTCTTTCCGTTTTGACTCCTAGGGCTTCATTTCCTTTTCCTCGATCATCCTTCTTGCTCTCTGCTGAACTTGCTCCAGTTTCTTGGCATCCTTCTTGAAGTGAAGTGTCGAGAACTGGACACAGTACTCTAGATGTGACCTAACTAGTGCCAAATAGAGGCCAAATTATTCACAATGTCTCCTTTCTTTTCGGCATTTGTGTGGTGGTGATGTGTCTTAGTTTGAGAAGCTAGAGCCCTAGACGAGCAACTTTTAGGATTCAAAGCTGCTGACAAACAGAAAGACCATCGTGTCAAACATGGGCAAATGCATATGTGATGATCTACTTCTTTATTTTATTTCTTAAACTATTTTTTACCCTGCCTTTCTCCGGAGGTTGCTTTCATAATTAAAAGACAATGCTTAAAAGCTAAAAACAGTAAGTATACAAATACTAAAAAGGATCAAACAAAACA